AAAAAGCTAAGATTTTAAAGGAGATTTCTGGAAAGAAAAACCTTTTTATAATAACAAAAAGTTTACTTAAACAATTCCAAAAGTGTTTTTAATAAAACTTTAATTTCGCTGGAAAAGAGGCCTACCTGAAACACATCTTCGTCTGTCCAATCAGGATTTTCTTTCTGAATTCGGCGTGCTTGAATGTTGTGCCAACGATATAAAATCAATCCCAGGCTTAGTAGACCGGGATTTTCATTTGCTCGTGGGTCGCCAAGCACTTAAAATTAGAAAAATTAGAATTTAGAATAGTTTAAATTTAGTTCCTGAATTTGGTGATTTGCATAAGAGTTCTTACTAAATAGCCGTTCTGGATTCATAAGCCGATTAATCTGTGGGGGAGCAGGATTTATCAACGGAATATGGGGATTGTTCAGCGGTGGATAACCCGGTATATGGCCTTCAGCCAGGGTACCGTTTGACCAGGATCTAAGAGAGGCTACCCATGGTTCTTCTACACTGTATAGGAAAGATGCGTCAATCCAACTTGTACGTTCGTTCAGCTGTAAAAGTTGCATCATCAAACTGCGGTCCGATAGGCATTAAATTTGAGGTTTGAACATTTTAAAAAAATTAAAATCGGTTCTCCTACAGTTAGCACAATTAAGCAACTAAACAACCTGTTCACGCGGTGTATTAAAGCCATATCCGGTCGTTTTATCGTACTTAGCACGAATGAATGGCATCTCAACTTTTCCTTTGCAGTTGGAGTCAAAAGTTCGATCACATTTTGGCACTGTTATTTTGTGCATTTCCAATGGGCAACTAATTTGAGTCGATTGCATTATCTCATAGGCCACTATTTGACCTACAATATCACTTTCGCTTCAGTATCTTCGCCTATGAAAGTGTTGAATTTTCAAAGTCCAAGATGAACCAATAATTCTTAAACTTCTTAAACTTGTTGAAAGCTCTAAAATTTGAGCTAAATCTGATAACACCTAGTTTTATTTTTTTTAATTTTTTATTGAACAAAATGAAAGTTATTACACTTATGTAGAAAAAAAATTTGATGACATTCTTATGTATTTTAAAATTCTTATGTGATGATCAATTTTTTGCTCTCATTAGATTCAATAGAATTCAGAAATTCATTTCGTTAGAATTTTCAAAAAAAAACAAGGATTATGAAATATTGTCATCCAGCATTTTTTCAGCACCAAGGTTATAGCTTAAGAACTTGGCTTAAAAAAAAACCGATACCGTTTCGCGAGTATAAAAGAAAAAACTGAAAATAATCGTATTTGTAAAGAAGAATCAAAACCTATTTTGAAATTTATTTGATTTAATCGGTCAATTAGTTGTTTTTTTCTCACCCCCCCACCTTCTTCTAACTTCGCAAATAATCAGATTCACCCATCTGCAAACTGTCATTCCAATACTATATTTATGTCAGCAAAACTATATTCGCATTGCTGTGACACATTCTGTGTGACCAATACGGCTGAGTGACATTGCAACTTTAAAAATGCCAAACGTTTCTTAAATTTTTTTCCCAAAAACAAATAACAAACTATAAATTGTCACAAAAATGTCTGATAGAAAGAAAAAACAGATGCATTAATGGTATGAAATCAGTATTGTTGGTCATAGTATGTTTTATAATAAAGCCTATTTTTGATGACATTAAAAAGTGAAAAAAAAAAATAACGAACAGATGACTAAAAAAAACTAACTGAAAAATACAAGCATTGTTGTGATGTTACGTGTACTTTGGATACCGTTTGGTCCACGAAATACCAGTTCAGAAATTTCCCGAGCTGACGGTAAATCTGTGTTGAGCATATAAACGCCATCCCAATAATTACTGGGTGCATCACGATGTAAATGAGCATCTGAAGCCGTATCAACAATAGAAACACTTTGATAATGCTTTTTTTTCGTTGATTAAATACACAGAAGAAAAATAGCTTAGTAAAAAAAAAAA